GTAAGGATACCACAAAGCAAGAGTAGTTACATTTTAATGTCTGTCCCTCACTTTTCTATTTCCTCCCAAGTTGCTTCTACCATTTTACATTCCATTTCCTCTTAATTCATGAATTCCATTAGAAGTATTTTAGCCAACTTAATTCCAAATGGGGAACAGTAATTACCAAATTCTGACCTTTTAAAAAACATGGACCCAGAAGCATATGATTTCTACCAATTATATTAAGAAAGAAAGAAAAATCACCATAAAAATTAGTTGATTTACTTAACCATCAAATATTTATTAAGTGTCAACAATTTGGCACCTACCTGCTGTTGGGTTAAGGGGGAAAAAAATCATGAACTGTTAGATTAACACTGTTTAAATACAGGTTATATTTATGCCATTTGCTGCTCTGCTAATTATGTTCTGATCTTCTCTACTCTGAATCTTACTGAAATTCAGAAAATCAAAGACATAGGCCCCCAATGAACTTCTCAAACAAATTATCTTCACATTAACACAAACTCTAATAGCGTCCTGATTTACTGGATTTTTCTTCTAACAGAATTAATCAAAATCAAATCAGGAAAATGTCATTACTCTGGATTACACACTATGTAGAATAAAGTATTCCTTGTTAATTACTTTGATCAAACCAAGACTTTACCCATTATTATTAGATCATGAAAACAGAAATCATATATTACATGATTTAAAAATAGATACATTGTGCCAAATACAAATACTTACATTTCTTCTGTTAGAGGTACGTGTTATTCTGCCAACTTGATGGGAGGACATATTCTCCTGGTTATTTGAAGAGCTAAAGGTATCAGTGCCTGATGAGTAAGGTACAAGCAAAATTAAGATAGCTAACAAAAAATGATAAGATGCCTCATCTTTTAGATACACTAGATACTATTTTTGATATCCACCTTTGCTTTTAATATCACATCTAAACATTAATTACCAACAGAAATTTTGAGAGTCAAGATTTAAAAAAAAAAAACTTTAAGTTCACTGAATACTCAGGTACTTTACCACTTTCCACAGTCACTAGTTAACATATTACAATGCAGATCTAACAAATTATAAATTGTGTTACAATGAACACATGTATTTTCACTGACATCTCATTTATTCTAAGCTACATTTTGTACAGTGAAATAGCAATAAAGTGCATTAAAATGACCATGAAAAGACTTAATTTAATTTTATAAAGTTTAGGAAAATTTTAATTTGATCACTTTTAATAGTAAATGAAAGGCAGTATAATGTGTTAAAGGGCATAGGCTTTATTTGAACTTGACAGACTATATGGTTCGAATTTTAGTTCTAACTTAAGATACGTCTTGGATTCTGTGCTAATGAGCTTGGTTTGTGTCCTATAGGTGACGAGATGACATTAAAGGATTTTGACCAGGGCGGAGTCATGAGTAATGGTTCCCATTCTGAGCCTCTCCCATGACCTTTGCCAGCCAGGTCCTGGTTTATCAGGAAAGCTGGGAGAAATCTTTGTTGTCTTGTCAAGATCATAAAAAAGCCAGAGATCTTGGAAAGTACACATGCCAAAACTGTCATGCTAATACTGGACTATTTTGGACATTTAAGAATGACTCTTAAAATCCAGATCATTACAATTGTGTAAACTGTGAAAAAGAGCTTAATGTTGATGCTTAGGAGTTGAGAGCGCAACTCCAAAGCTTATAATAACTTGAAAAATGGTGGTACCCATCCAAAATGTGAGACTTGAATGGAAAGGGATGAATAAGAGACTTCTTTGTTATTATCGTTATTATGCTTTAGGCGGAAGTTAACAGCTCAAGTTAGTTTCCCATACAAAAATTCATACACACATTGTTATGTGACCCTAGTTGCTATCCCTGTAATGTG